GCATCCGGACTTCGGTTCAGGACCTTGATTTCTTTGGCTTCAGTCCCATTGTGCGGATGTGAGGTATTTTGATGTGCTCCGGTTCTCGAGTAGAATCGATCCTATTGATGGGGATCTATGGAAGGTTGATGGCCCAGTGTCCATTAAGTGGTGATGATTGGTACCACATGCATGAGTCTTGTTACATTTGCATTTATGAGATGACCTTGGGTAAATTATGATCATGTGGCCTTTGATGTCCATTGATGAATATGATGATGTTAAATATGAAAATGACACCATTTTATATATTGATTTCCTACATTGATTATTATGAATTGTTTTAGTCACTCTGTCTGTTTGAATGTTGCTTCCACGTGGGTAACGTGCAGATGACCAGGTTTAGTCGTGGATGTCGTTGAGGACTTTTGAAGTTTTGGGTCGTTGGCCATTGTGGTTGACTTAGAGGGTCATGCTCTGATAGTGTAACATCGGGTTGGGGTCTTTGATTCAAACCTTATTTTATTGATGTTTTTGTCATGTTTATTTCCTTACGGCGTAAGGAAAACTTTGGATTATGCCTTTTTTGAGTTTCGTTGCCTTTTGATGAAATTTTTGATATCTTTTGAGAAAACCCGTTGTTTACAGAGCTTAGACTTATATTTGATTTATTGGGAAATGTACACCCTTTGAGGTGATTTTTATTGAATTTAATATTTTACTCTGATAAATGTGAATATTTTGCCTTTTATTTTGTGGGGTAGAAAAGGGTGTTACAATAGGACTTTTTAAAATCTATTATATCACTTCCTTCCAAATTTATTGTGCATATTTCAGGTAACACTTTCCTATACTGCTTGAGCCAGTCTGATCACACAAATTTGACATTGAAAACAACCTCTTCAATAGTTATTTACATGCCTTTCTTATGTAACAATGAATCTGAGTATGCAATTGTTTTTTAGACAATTTAGTAAACAATTTATTTAACATTCTGCATTACTACCAATATTTTGTACTACTGTAAACGTTGAAAACACCTCTTCATTAATTAGACACAAAACATATAAAAGCATAGCCATAATACCCATTGCATTAATCGATATTGTTAAACAATAGGGGACCAAAAGCAACTACCATTAAACCGAACAAAAAGTGTTTAACCATTAACAACCACAACAAAATATCAATCAACATCCATAACCTTCTTAGGCACACATAAACTAACACCATAATATCAACATTCAACGTCCTACTACATAAACTAACTTTTAACGATTTAAGATTTTCACAACAAGTCTGTCTCCTAGAGGGTCGCAAAGTATGAATGCCAGCCTATCACCTCTTTTGAGTCGTCTGTTCTTAACAAACTCATACCAACCATGCCCGATATACCTTTCTACATAATACTTTCTTTCAGCTTGGTAAAGTTCACAGTCATACCTTTTTTGACTATCAGCATCAAACAACTGAATACGCCTTTGACCATCTTGCAGACACTCCCTAATAACTCTCTGAGGGATTTGCTATACATTAACAAAATTTCATATAAATAAATAGCGGATTGCAAAGATTTATTAACTTATATCAATATAAGATAACTATAGAACTTACATAAACATTTTTTCGTGCTGTCTTCCTGGATCAGATCTTCCTTTTCCAAACAAAGTACTTTGGGCGCCTTCCCCTACCTAGATCAATTGTCTCTTCATCAGAACTGCAAAAACAACATAACTGTTACATCTTTATCTATCATACAAGCCACAAAGTAAATCCTAACATACCATTTAATATTTTTTACTACAAAAACTATTATAAATTTAAACCTAATATGATATGCTGAAATACCTCCCACTATCTGACGAAATCGATATGTGGGATAATCTGGCGCCAGATAAACCTTTATGTTTCTTAACAACCCTTTCTCCCTTCGGTGATTCACGATCTTTTGTTACATGAATCTTTCCCTTCTTAGATAGGGCTTTCCCAGCGAGTGAGTCTTCATTTGAAACAATGCCTTTTCCCTTTAGATCTTTAACTACTTCAGTTTTCCCCCCATCAACAACAGTTGATCCTACATGTTTTCCTTCACTTTTTCCACCATCACCAACAGATGACCTTCCATGTTTTCCTTCAGTTTTTCCATATTCAACAATAGATGACCCTCCATGTGTTGTTATCTCAGATTTTTTTCTTAGCCGTAGTTTCCAAACAATTAGCTTCCTTAGCTTCAAGGTACGCCATGTCGGGAGTCATGCGTTTGCAAGCAGTTTGTCGTTCCAAACTTTCAATCGATCTGCAAAATAATAACACAACATAAAATGCAGATACTAAGTGTTAAGAGGATATGATATCATGCACATGCAAAAAACATAAAAGCAAAGACTCGAATCAACCTTCCAACAGAGGTAAAGGGACTATTGCTTGATATGTTAGGGTTTTCTACAACTGCTCCAGTTTTGGATGGTTGGCCCATCTCTTTATACTTTTTGAATTCTTCAAAGGACATGACTGTTTTCTTACCCTTCTTCCACTCATAGAACTCTTCGTATTCGAGATAGCCTAATTGTAGTTGTAGTCGTCTCTGTTTTCCCTCCCTCGCTTCCTATTGGGAACATGAACTGCAATAACATGAACATGCAAATTTGTTTGTAAATCAACATGCAAAATCGATAAAACCCTAACTCGTGGCCGATTGAAATGACGATAGAACTTGAATAAATATGTTGATCAACAACAACGACATAACATGTCATTCTTTTTGTAGATCTACATAGGTACACTTACAAATATGCATCACTGATATCGCTTGCAAAAGAGTACGAAAACTATATAAATGCCTATACCAAATATCAATCTGATTCGGTGTAACAAACTTTTATTTCTACAATAGGAGCGGTTTGAATGAACGAAGCTTACAAAAATATACAAATTTTTACCTTATGAAAGACCCAGAATATTTGTCCTTTCCCATTCTTAGAATGCAAAGCTTCGTTGCTGGACAGGTTAGTATTTCCACGCTTTTGCTTGCGTGTAAATTTGGCTTCAGTACATTTTGGAACCCTAGCTATAAAAAAATATGGTAGAATTGGCCCACTACAATTCAATTTTTGTGGGCCTATTCGTCTGTCTTACCATAACAACCTAGCTTTTAAAGTCCATCTTTTTAACTTATTATACAATACAAAGACCATTTCATCATGTATATAACATCCATTATTTTGAAATTTTTGATTTATTTTTTAAATAATTTTAATTAATACATATCTTTAATAAATGAATAATAATGTAATGTTGATATAAGATATGGGAATTCACTGAGACTATTATCTCACCCTAGTATTATTGTTGTTTTTAAGGTAGTTATGTGCATATAAAAAACAAAGGCAAGCTTACTTTATGATGTTTGGCGACTCGACTTTTTAATTATGATCTTTCATTGTGGATCATATGGATAATGTACATAAATTCTAGTTTTTGTTTAGACACTCTTGTATACGCGTGACATATTTTGTATATTATTCATTTTGGACATGTATATATAATGATGTCGATAGGCTCTTATGTTGTATCAGTACTAGTTACACTATGTAATGTATTTTTTAGATGTATATTATAGTGGGTGTTACATAACAGGTAATTAAATACCTATTAATTTTATTCGCATATACCAAATAGACTACCAGACTCGTAACTGTGACGAATTTTATCAGCAGATCCCTATTAGGGGTGGACAATTTAAACCGTCAAATTTAAACCTAGTAACCCCTTGTCTTTTTTGTGCAAATGGATCAAGTTGAATCGGGTGTCAGATTGATTCGATTGCTTAATTTAGATAGTATAATGTTGCTTTGGTCGGATTTAGATGATTATTTTGGACCTGTCAACAACTAAAACCGACTAAACTTAATTAATACATATTTTATTTATTTTTATTACTATAAGACTGACTCATTATAAAAATGAGATTTATATTGTTTTCAAGATATTATAATTTTTATAATTTATTAGTGGCATTGTGTACTCTTAAAATTACAAGACATACAATATAAAATTTTGAATATTATTTAATTTATAATTTAAAGTATGATAATGATCAAATTAATATCAAATAATATTAAAAAAATTATCACATAATAATAACAACTTTTTTTTCAATAATAAGAAATAGTTTTTAGACGATTCTAAAATTTTGATATAATTTTTGAAAAACTAGAAAGAAAATGTTTGTGAATTTTATAAAAAAATTAGTTATTTTTCTAAATTTCTTCTAATGAATATTAAATCGATTAAATTAATTTGATTTTTTCGTTAAAGTATGTCAAAAACTAAAATTTTATCGATTAAAATTAAATATAAAAATAAAACTGCATCCTATATAAATTTTAAATTCGAAATTAATCAAAACCGACTTATTGTTCCGCCTAATACTTTCACCCTTTTTAGATTCCATAGCCTTAAAATATCAAATTTTAACCGATCATTGGAAAAGTCTTATTCTTTCATTAAATAACCTCTAAAATCAATAAGTTTGATTTGACCATTTATAAGAAACAAATAACAGTTGAGAAGAAGAATAAATGGAGCAATGAAACCTTCCCACGTGGCACTCTATGACAACGACAATTGTACGCGTTGATGACGCGTTAGTAGAATGCTTAACGCGCTTTTTTTTAGTTCTCATCCTCTTTCTCTGCGTCCCATTCAATACTCAATCCCAACGCTACTACTTCTCTTTCTATTTCATCCTATATATATTCACAAGATCCCTCTTTCTCTCTCCTTCCATTTCTATTCCAATTTCACAATCTTATTTCTTTTCTCAAGGTCAATAATACCCTCATTTTTTTCATCAATTTTATACCATCTTTTATTTTTTATTAAAAATTAGATCAACGTTGAATTTTAATTATTTTTGCATGCAATATGAATCGAAACTAATTTGAATTGGATTGGATCTGATTCTGTTGTGACAATTTGTAATTGTTGGATCACCAGGTGTTTGTTGTTTGGTCTGAAAGATGGGAGGTGGTAAGGACAAGCATGATGAATCTGACAAAGGGATCTTTTCACATCTTGCTCATGGTGTAGCTGGTGCTGCACATGGTGGAGGTTACCCTCCACAACATGGATATCCTCCGCAGCAAGGGTATCCTCCGCAACATGGGTACCCTCCACAACAAGGGTATCCACCAGCTGGGTATCCTCCGCAACAAGGAGGGTATCCACCTGCCGGATATCCACCACAACAAGGCTACCCGCCTGCTGGGTATCCTGGTTCTTCTGGTCATGGTGCTCCAGGTGTGTTTCCTTTTGTATTATTTCATAATTATTATGTTTTGCTTGAAAAATTGAATTCTAGCAAAATGAGTTCTCATGTCTATTGTAGTTGTAAAGTTTGTCTTGATGCCTACTTATAAGTATATACCAAGTGTCTTTTAAAACTACATAATTTACCATGCTGAAATATCAGTAAAATCACAAACAATTATGATGATACACTAATGCTTGGAATTCAGGTGTAAGTTGTAAAATAGTATCTGGTATTGGTTAGGAATGGATTAAATGAAGATTATAAAGAGAGAGAAAAATCTATGTTTCCGATTCCATATGGTTTATAGTGAAGAAAACCCATTAGCTTGATAGGTAGGTAGCAACTGAGTATTTGGCTTAAAAGAACACAGGCTTGTTAACCTTTTAACTTGACTTTGGTGTTCATTTTAGTCCTTTATCTGAAAAAGTATCATAGTGGTCTCTTTAATATCCAAAACAGACCACGAATTCAGTGACCGGTTTTTTATCCATATATTGATTTGTTGTTCTGGATTGTGATTTATTGCTTGTCCCTTGGAACTCCATTTTGGCAAAAACACATTTCTTAAATTAAGACTGATTTAATTGATGGTGGTAATTAGATTTGATCATGTCTTCTGGACTCTGTTGACAGTTTTCCCCCTTGAAGTATTCCTTTTACTTAATTATTTGATGCTATGCAGTGGCTGTTTGAAACTCTTTTTCTGCTGCCTATGTTAACACCAAAATCCTTGGAACTTGCTAAGTTTTTAAGTTTTCTAATGCTATCACCAGGGTCTCATGGACACGGTGGACACGGTGGTATGGGAGCATTGCTTGCTGGGGGTGCAGCTGCTGCTGCCGCTGCTTATGGTGCTCAACATCTCTCCCATGGTTCTCATGGCCACCATCCACAAGGCGGCTATGCACATGGTGGGTATGGTCATGTTGGTGCCCACATGCCCCACGGAAAGTTCAAGGGTGGAAAGCATGGCAAGTTCAAGGGTGGAAAGCATGGCAAGTTCAAGGGTGGAAAGTTTGGCAAGCATGGAGGCAAGCATGGATTCATGAAGTGGAAGTAAAGAATGTATATGCAATTATGGTTCTAAATACAGCGGCTTTATGCTTGCTACTTTATAAATAAACCATTTTCTATGATGTATGCTTGTCATAATAGGCCCCTTTCTTTTCTTTTGTCCTTGTTTTGCTATTTCAATGTACTGGATCCTTTGAGCAAGTCTTGAGGTAATTGGCTTTCTGCTGAGTGCTGACAAATATTGACAAATTGATGTGTGAAATAGCCTTAATATGTTTTGCATCCTGAATACACATGTTCATTGAACTCATTTGATTGTTTTATAATTTTCTCAATTTGTTGTGTAGTTTTTTGAATTTGAACTGTTTGTTGATGAAAGCATGTGATCATGTAAAATTTCTCAGTAGTGTTTATTCCAAAAAAAATTTAGTTGAGGAAAAGCATATGATATTCTTGTCCTGTCTTTGAATATTTATTTCGGGAATAATATATGCTTTTGGTTTATGTAATTGGATTGCTTTTGGATTTTATAGTCCTTTAGTTTTTTGGAATTATATCTAACTTAAGATTTTTATTATCGGCATGTCACATTCTCACTCCGTCATTGTTTAATCAACTACTACTGTATATATTTTCTTTCATTTTGTATGGTAAGTTATTTTGTTTTTTCTATAAAATTAAGAGAAATTTGATTGAGCCAAAAACAACAAATTACAAGATGAAAAAAGTTCAATCTCAAATAAACCAAAAAGACAAAAGAACCATCATAACATCCCTTAACTTTAGAATTCCCTTGACAACCCAAGACATACTCATTGATGCTTGAACATTTTGCAAATCAGCGCCTTTGAAATAGAATATATGAATCCATTTGATCCACAAGGAATCCTTCTTACGGCCCAAATTCCACAATAATTTTGCAAGACAAGTCTTGTTCCAGTCCTCTAATGAGATGATATTTAAACCACCAGCATTCCTGGGTTTACACACTTGCTTCCAAGTAATAAGGGACTTTTTAGAGATAGTATCCTTACATGTCCAGAGGAGTGATCTGAAGATGGCCTCTATAGCACAAATCACCTTTTTAAGAAAGGACAAGCAATGTATCTAGTAGGAAGTCATGACAGTTATGATGATGTTAATAAGTTAGATCCTCCCCCGCATAACTTATTAACTTGGAGCTCCAATGCCTTGTTCTCTGCACTATATGATCCACAAGGCCCATGTAATGAATGGTGGCCAGCTTCCTACTAGTGAGGGGAATCCCTAGATACTTGAAAGGGAGGACACCTTCAGGAAAACCAGTGATGTCAGCAATAGCAGCCTTTATCTCATTCACCACTCCACCATAGAAAATCTTGCACTTTGAAGGATTCACTTGTAAGTCGATAGTCTTAGAGAAATCCACCATTTTCCTCATAAATAACTCGATAGACCTACTATCCCCACGAGAGAATAACAATAAGTCATCAGCAAAGCTTATATCAGTGATTTAGATTTTCTCACATTTGGCATGGAAGTTAAAATCAGGAACCTCCCTAAGTCTTTGCATACTTCGATGGAAATACTCTATCACAATGACAAAAAGTAATGGGAGATAAGGTCACCTTGTCTAAGGCCCCTTTTAGCATCCAAAGCTCTAGTGTGACGGCCACCAATGTTGAATTTATAGGCCACAATAGAGACATCTACCATAATCCACTTAACAAAGTTAATAGGGAATCCAATCTCCTTTAGAATACTCTTCAAAGCAAACCAATCCATAATATCGTACTTCTTTTAAATATACAACTGGAGCATGCATCTTGGAGTACCAAATTTCCTGCTATACCCACGAATTAACTCATAAGCCAATAACACATGGTCATGAATACTTTGGTCAGACAAAGCAGTCTGGCTTTGCCTAATGATGTTGGTCATGATCTTACTCATCTTATTAGTCAAGATCTTAAAAATAGTTTTATAGATAGTAGTACAACATGAAATGAGTCTGAAATCTCTAACTGTCTTACCTGCATTGCCTTTAAAGATAAGGGACACAAGAGTAGTGTTTATAGCATGATACATTTTCTTTTGCAGGGTGAGTCTGTAAATACATTTTCAGACTAATTTTAAAAGTATTTTGGGGTGATGGCAGAGTGTTTTTGCATAATTTAGTGGATATTTTAAAAATGCATTTACGAAATCATTTAACATTGATACGAAAACGTATTTCTGAAACAATTAAAAAAAAGAGAGAATACCTAACTTCAAAAGTGTTATGTTATATCCTAGATACGTCCAATGATGTGTATCTAAATTTAAAAAATATTTATGGTTTTTTCACTAAATGTAATTTTTCGTCAATTTTACTTACAAAACATTGTATTATTATAAAATTCAGACATATTAACTCACGTTTAATAAGTATTAAAATCTCCATGATCAATTTTTAAAAATTAGAGTACGATGATAATGTCTTCATATTTATATTTTAGAAAAAAAAATTAATATCTAAATTATACACTTTTAGAGCATGGGTATGTTAAGAATTTATAATACTACCTCCGTTTTAAATTATAAGACGTTTTTGAATATTTCACACAAATTAAAATTTTTAATTATTATTTTATGAGAAAGAATTTATATATAACTTTAATATTGCATTGGAAATGAAAAGTGACTTATAATTTAGAACAATTTTTTTTAATAATTTATAATTTAAAAGAGAGATAATATGTTTTTACCAATATATGTACGTGATTATATATTTGTTGCACATGCGAACATGTAATTTTCTGACCCTTAATCTTAATCAGCCAGGGTATTCTTTGGGGAAGGACTAGAGTTAAATGATAAGATTGTTGGATTCTTTACTCGGAGGTGTCTAAGTCTAAGAATTAGGGAATTTAAAATCAAAGATTTGCATTTGGTTAACTTAACATTCTTAGGTAAGTGGATAAGGAGATTATTGCATTGTGGAGATATGGATCGATATTTTTTCAGTTAAATATAAGATTGGTGTTGTCATATTTGTAGTTGGTGGTAGGTCTCAAGGTTTTATATCTTCAGTTGTCTTGTGAAAAGAAATTTTTCTTCGGGTACTAACTCTAAGCATGTTTGAGAACTTTTTTTATTACACCGATGTTTTTAATGGATCATGTGAATTTTTATATATTTTTTAATTTTGGAGATATATTTTCGAACACATCTATTTTTGAATAAACATTGATATATTTTAGAGATATATCTCCGAAACAATTTTAAACATGTCACTCAGTAGCCATTTGCATTTGAATTATTTCGGAGAAATACACCTCCGAAGTGTATCAGAACATGTGTTTTTTTTGCTATAAGTTGTGTATTTGTTTTCAGATGAAGTATGAAGTACGATCTTGAGTAAAAAAAATAGACGTACAAAATAATAAGAAACTGATATTTGATGTGTCGAAAATGATATAGCAATATATGTAAAAAAATATATCGTACAATCAAGATCCAAAATGTAATAAAACCGTAAAAATAAAGTAGAGAGTTGTTCGCATGCAGTTCTCGCTCGAACAACCTCTGACCTCCTAACGCAAGTTTACTTGCGGGACCGGCCAAACAAGTCCCAGAACTCTAGTTTGTAGTGTATGGGAAAGTGGTGGAATGGTGTTGTTTAGAATAGGTTAAAAATAAATTCTAGAAAGACTGTAAATTAAATAAAGATGAATGCGTAAATAAGAAAAGAAAAAAACAACAAGACAAGAAACTTTAAAGTTAATGATATAAATTGCTTATTAAGAGGAAACGTGGACGCGATCATACATTTTGCAGGAGTGAAAACTCTTTTCTCTTAACGCTTGGTACTCATAGTGTTTTTCTCTTACAATGTTACAAAATACCCCCCCCCCCCCCCCCCCTAGAAAGACTGTAAATTAAATAAAGATGAATGCGTAAATAAGAAAAGAAAAAAACAACAAGACAAGAAACTTTAAAGTTAATGATATAAATTGCTTATTAAGAGGAAAGGTGGACCCGATCATACATTTTGCAAGAATGAAAACTCTTTTCTCTTAACGCTTGGTACTCATAGTGTTTTTCTCTTACAATGTTACAAAATACCCCCCCCCCCCCCCCCCCCCCCCAAAAAAAAAATGAAACTGGGCATTGCCTTAAATATGAAATAAAATAACTGCCATGTTAAAGTTGGTGGCGTCACGTGTCCATCCACCACTTTTGTAACCTCCCACGTTCTCAGCTTTCAAATTTGTTTCCCGCTCGAATGTTTTCCTTTTTTGCGTTGGCTTCTTTGTCCATCAGTCGACTTTGTCGATCGAAACTGCCTGAGTCGACCCACCAGCCTTCTTCTGCTGGCGTCGGCTTACCTCATTTCCTTCATCATCATTCCCAGCCTGTCGACCCACAAGCCAGTCTTTGTGTCGTCTCTCTTTAGTCGAAACTTCCAGCCAACAAGATGCCCCCTCAAAATCCAGTTTCAAAGGAATACTCTGTCGACCAAGAAATTGAGTGTTTTAGTTCTATAGAATTTCAACTGCGTCTTGGTTACGACACAACAAAACCATCATTGTTTTCTATCGATTCAGGCACGCATCACCCACAGTCTGACGTGATAATGACACCTTTCTGCGCCATGATTTCCAAGAAAAAGCTAATCATGTTGGTCACATCCCAACGTCATGGGTCTTGGACCACTCCCACTTACTCTCAGAATCAGAAACGTCTTTTTGCCTTTTCAATTGTACACAAACTTGCCTATAAATAGCTCATTTCACACTTTGTTTCTCTTTTCCAACTTTTTCCTCGCTTCAACTTTCCTGCAAACCCTTGTTTTCCAAAGTTCTTCAACTTCCTTTCCAATGGCTTTTTCCACCACTCACACCACCGACAACAACCCTATAACATTTGTTCTTTCTGAGGTTGATTCTCTTAGGACCATTCCAAACCCGACGTCTGCTGATGAAGTGGTGGTTGCTGCCTGGCAAGGTCAAATGGTCATCCCTTTCGCTGTTACTGGAAAGCTACATGCTTTCCATGGGCCATATCCTGCTAACAAGCCCAGCC